CATTGCCAAATGTCCCTGGGGGATAGGAGGGTGGAGGCGTGGCAATATCACCTCCGATTAAAAACCAGTTTCAAACAATCTTACCCACTCAGCAAGATATATTAGTTATATAAAAACTAACATGGGCCAACTGACTTTTTTCTTCTATTCACATCTAGAGATTTGCTAGAACTCTCACACACCAGAGTACAATTCTACTTAAATGTGCCTACATTGCATACATGTGTTTAATAATCATATCCTCATGTAAAGACCGAGAGCGTATCTTTGAGTCAGATCCCAGTGTGATTCATTTCTCCCATGTCTATAAAAGCAACACGAGGCAGGGGTCACATAAAATCCTGTTTGTGGGCTAAAAGAAACCACTACAGGTATTCGGATCAACCAGTGTTACGATGCACCCAACCAAAGGATGCCACTGAACTACACAAACCACTGATTTCACAAGATGCAGAGATATAAAAATGACTCAGACATATCTTAAATTGTTATCCAAGATTTTATGGTTCTCACTTCTCTACTTGTTTGCTTAGATTCCTTAGGAATCTCAAATATTTCCTTTTGGTGTGACCGACTTTTCTTCACCTTCAAAACCCTGATGGCCACTGCTTGGAGGCACGAGTGAACTTGATGACTTTGTTTGCTCTGTATTATTCCTTTGAAAACTCTCCATAAAGTACGCATCTTATAAATGAACTTTTATAACTAAGGCTTTTTTGGACTTCATGCCAACATCCTCTGGAGTTGTCATTGCTGTAACTCCTTCATTGCTTAACTACAGAGCAATGGGCACACTTTTGACAAGGGACATTGAAACCATTCATTCACGTGCTAAACTGACACTTTACAACAAAATCCAATTATTGAGAGTTTCTGCATTTGACCCTTATTGTGGCTGAGTCAAGAAATTAACAAGTTGGGGCACTGACAAATGTTTGGATTTAACTTGGAGTACGGGTGTTTATAAGCAAAGTCCGACACAGAATTTAGTTAAGCCAAGAACCCCCCAATTAATATAAATGAATAAGGATAATCCTGAAGTGCAGTCACCTATATTGATTTCACAACCCTATTTCAGTGGCTAGTGTACATTTTTTCAGCCTACATTTCCCAGTTCATTATCCCTGAGGCATCGGTGATAAAGCCCCAGAAAAGAAGCTGCCTTCTCCTTTGACATAAGCAAATGAAATAAGGAAGAAAGACTTTACATAAGGGCCAAGCACAGGAGTGAGTGTGGGTGAGTAGTGGAGCCCTGCAAGCCTTAGTCTGAATCCATCAGCGACACTAACTAATTGTAAAATGTTTGCACGTAGATTAACCTCCCCAAGCCTCTCTGACTTTATCTTGAAAATAGGTGTGATAGTGACAACTTCAGAATTGTGAGGAAAACAAGAGCTAAATCAAGTATCACATCTAGCAGGGGATTCGCACATATTAAATAAACACTCTGGAGATGGCAATTATTTTAAAAGCAATGTGAATAGTAATCATTAGGTTGGCCATTCATTCTTACATCTTACCTTAAGAAGGACTAATTCCCTTACTTCAACCCAGAGCCATCCTTGGGTAAACATATGCTTTTAATATAAAAATATAAAGAACATTTTAGTTATTGTAAGGACTGCACTATTGTGACAATTTTTTTTTTAATTAAAGTTTATCGGGATGACAATTGTTAGTAAAGTTACATAGGTTTCAGGTGCACAATTCTGTAATACATCACCTATATAGCACACTGGTGTGTTCACCACCCAGAGTCAGTTCTCCTTCCATCACCATATATTTGATCCCTTCTACCCTCATCTACCACCGTTCACCTCCCCCTTCCCCTCTGGTAACCACTAAACTATTGTCTGTGTCTGAGTTTTTGTTTCTTCATTTGTTTGTCTTGTTCCGTTGTTTTCAGTTTTATATACCACATATCAGTGAAATCATATGGTTCTCTACTTTTTCTGTCTGACTTATTTGATTAGCATAATAATCTCAAGATTCATCCATGTTGTCACAAATGGCACTATCTCACCTTTTCTTATGGCAAAACAGCATTCCATTTTGTATCTATACCACATCTTCTTTAAGCATCTATGGACGGGCACTGGTTGTTTCCATGTCTTGGCCACCATAAATATTAAAAACATTTCTTGGCTACAATTTAACCTGCTGATTGGAAACATGAAAATATTTTTTTTTAAACTTTAATAGCAAAAGTGGAGGTTTTCACTATAATTTAAATATATCAATTGTTTATGAGATAGGAATCAGTTATGAGGAAAGCTAGCATCAAATATTCATACCAAGAGTCTGCCCAGTGTCTCAGAGGATTGAGTCTTATATCACCAGACATAAGAGGGCTGTCCCCGTTTATCCAAGGAGGTTCTCCTGCTTCCCACCCTTTCGTTGTAACCTCCCATTGCACTGAACACTAAACCTCCAGCCCTGCCCATGGTAGCCTCCCCAGCCCTGGGTCATATGCCCAGCTCCCTTTCTCATGTGCCCTTTGCTCCCACCTGCCCACCTCATTAAGATCCTACTGTCTGGTCTGTGGAGAAGATGAGCTCTTCCCTGCTTGGGGTCTTCACACATGTGGAGACGTCGTCTTTCCACGTAGCTACTTCTTTTCTCTGAGCTAAAAGCGACCTCGTAGAGATGTTTCCTTGAACCCATATTGCCTGAAAACTTTGGCTGCCCACCCCCACTGCCCATTAGTTTTTCTACCCAGCTGGGAGTTTACCACTTTTAATTATGTTTGTTTATTTGCTTGTCTGTCTGTTGTCAAACTGGGCAGTAAGCTCTAGCTGGCTATCTGTGGTATTCATTATTGTATATCCTAGCACCTGGTGTTGGGCACATAGTAGGCATTCAATAAGCAACTGAATTAAAGAGTAAAAAAGAACAGTTTAAAGAGAAATAAAGGTAGGTGAATATGTTGTGAAATATCTTTGAAACCAAACCTGATTTACTAACTTGCCAAAGATTAAAAAAAAAAGGCAAAATAAAGTTGACCAAATTAGAATAGATATTCTCTCAGTTCTAGCCTGTTTGATAATTGCTCATTATCAAGAGCTAAGATGGTTAAGATCACCTGACCTGATATTCTTATGCACTCTGGCTTGACCGAAGCCTGTTCACTTGTTTTTTAAGTGCAAGAAGCCAGGAGCCTCAGTGGCTCACCGGATCATTTAAATATAAACTCTTCTGCTTGGTTTTCAAAGCTCTGCCCATTTTGGCTTCATTCTGTCTATCCAGCATTTCCTACTCTAAACCCTAGCACACCTTCCTGTCTGGGAAGCCTGGACTCCTTTCTGTGCTGCACAGCCTTTACTTGTAAATGAGCGGTCTCTGCATTGCAGGTGACCTGGACAAGATCCTCACTGGTGGGTAGGAAGAGACAGGGCTGATGAGAGGAGAGTACATTCCAGACAGAGGGAAAGCACAGAGCAAAGCACTGAAACAGGAGTCAATATGGAGCATCTGGGAGAATGCCCATAGACCTGTAGTGCTGTTTGAGTGTAAGTGTCAAGGGCAAGGGGAGAGGATGTCCAGGAGAAAGAGTTTGAAAGGATGACGTCAAGCCCAGCCTTGGGAGACAAGCTCTAGAGGGCCAGCTGGCCTGCTTCCTTCTGCCTTCCCTCCCTCCCTCGTTTCCTCTCTCCTTCCCTCCCCTGGACCCTTCCTTCCTTCCTTCCTGAGAATTTAGGCAACAACAATTCATTTAAGACTTTTAAGCATGGAAATGACATAGTCTAATTTGTCTTTTGGTGAAAAACAAAAACTGAACAATAATCAGAATACACAGATAAAGTTCTATTCTGCCTCTTTCTAGCTGCATGACACTGGGTGACCTTAATTCCCTTTTCAACAAAACCGGGATAACCTCTCTGCCTATTGAGATCCTGGTTATTGGGATCATGGGAGATACACTGTTTTACCATTTGCAAAGTATAATACAGCAAAGTGTGCTTGTTATCCCTTTTGAATAATTTGTTAGCCTAAAACTTCAGAAAGACCTAACTAAAGGCAGCCAGAATCTATTGTGTACCACCAGACAAGACAACAGCAAAAGCAGCATGTGTATACTGACTTTGAACAAAAATTCCCCAGTAGGTTGGAGCTTTTTTGAGTCCTTGAGGAAGCAAGAGCCAATGCCAGGTACCCCGGCCAGTGTGAGAGAGGGACCCTGACTAAGGGTTGGGGGGGGGAAGGGAAGAGGTAGAGAGGGCTGAGCCTGAGTCCATGATGACAGTTGTGCTTGATTTGTGTCCTCTGTCCTCCGTGGACCCTGCCTGAGGATAATTCAGTCATTATGGAAAAATCTATCTCAGACATTGTTCCAAGCCCTAGCATTTGTTATGTTTTACTTCATTATTGCCACATAGTTTTTAAAAATCTTTATTTGGCTGTTCAGCCTAATTTGGACAGTGATTTCTGTGTTTGCATATCTTAGAGGGCTCAATTTGGAACATGCAATAAATATTTAGGTAATATTGTTAGCGTATAGAATATAGAAGTAGGGTTTTGAAGTTTAGTATTTCTAAATGAATAATAATACACTTATAATGTTGGAAATATATTTCTTATTTTGTTCCAAAAATGTAAGATTGCCTCAGCTCTACTTAATTTAATAATTCAGAAAACTTCTGAAACATGAACTTATTTCCACACTTCTTTTAAGAAATAGCCTTGTCTAATGGGCAGTGCTATAATGACAAGTTATTTGACCTATGACATCAAAATTCTGTACAGATATGCTTGAAAATAACAAATTATGAAATTCATTTTCCACTTAGCATTTCCCATTGTGTTTAACAATGTTGTGGCAAAATTTGATGAATATTTTTTAGGCCATAAATTTGATTACATATTATTACTAACATCATTTCAATTATGTTTTAATCATAATTATGTTTTTAATATGTAATTAATGTTTTATTTGATAAGTGGCATTGCTCTTTTTCAATATTTGATCAGAAAACAATAATCTTTCCTAAAATTTATTTTAGGTTTTGAAACGAACATGAACCTAACTAGCCGAGATGATCCTGGTACTTCAGAAATTGCATCAGAGACCCAAGATAGAAATGCAAATAACCATGGAATTCAGTTATCTAATTCACTCTCTAGTGCTATCACTACTGAAAATGGGAATTCTGTCTCAAATGGTAAGCACTTTTTAAACTCAGAAATAAATAGATAAGTTTTAAGTGGTACCGACTTTCTAGGGAGGATGGACTTAAAACATAAAAATGAAATAGGCTTAAAAACTAGAAAATAGAATATAAACTGTGAAACTTCACTGTAGGGTATGTTTTCAACATGTTATAGGTTAAGTTAAAGAATAAAGTTGTGTTAGTTGACTTTCAGAGATATTTGTGGAGTATCTGGCCTATGGGAACCAGTATAAAATGAGACTTATATGAGCAGAAGGAGGGGATGGATGCCCTGACAGTATTTTTAATTTATAAAAGTATATATATTTCTCATACCTAAAATGTGTAAAAGAAAATAATATTGAAGACATCATCAACGCCAAACTGGCTTTAAGTATTTAATTTGAGTCTATCGGTGAATTGTATCATTTAGAAGTTGGCTTGACTGTGTGTATCCAAAAATTGTGTAATAATGGCTTAAACAAATAATTTCTTTTCCTCACATGTAAAAGAAGCTCACGGCTTCTAGTAATGGCTGGTGGGATGATTCAGACCATCCTTTTTATGAGAACATCCAAAAGAGCTAGAAACAAATTGCTTTGTTTAATCTGATTACAGACACTAAAAAACTACTAACACAGTGAAACAACTAAGGCGGGACTGAAAAAGTCAGAATGGAATGCAATGGAGGCCAAGCAAGGAGCCCCATGTATGCTCTCAGGGATATTCAGAGTGCTCGTTGAGTCCAAAGAAGGCAGGGTTGTGCTTGTGACTGCCTTCTAGGATTGTGGGGACAGACTTGAAGGCCATGGGGTGGAGCCTTGAAGTGTTTATCCTAAGGGTCAGATGAACTAGAATCAGGAACCACAGCTCAGCTGTGAATCATCTCAATCCCTGAGATTGGACCAAGATTGTTCAGGACTGACAAATCCATAGGTACCTGGGAGGAGGAAAAAAAAAATTATATATATATTTCCCCCCCCAAAAAAAGTATATATATATATCCCCCCAAAATATATATATATATATATATATATATATATATATATATATATA